CGGGTACACAAATTTTTAAATAATATCTTTTAAAATATTAATTTTATTTAGTTTAATTATCAAAAATATTAATAACCTTTTTTTTTTCGAACGCAAGGGAAGCAATGCATTAAGAATTGCCATACGGCATCTACATCAAGGTCTTATCCAAAAAGATAAGAGTATCAGATAAAAAACGAACAAACTGGAGAAACAAGGCAAAGTAGACCCGATGTAGAGGAGAAAAGGAGGTGAAAATACTCGCGCAACTTGTGGTCGACCGATCCAGCGATTGAACACCTTTCAATTTACTAGGGAGAGAATGGCGCCAAATCTCCAGGACACCGCGGCAGGGATCCAAACCGACGGTGGCCAAATCTGGACAACCAACGAGCCCCTACACAAGAAAGAGTCAAGGGTCGTCGGAATTGTAAAAACAAGCTGTACAAGAACACAAAACAACACAAACAACCAAAAAATAGAAAAACCAAAAAGGGGTCATCGGAAAGGGACTCAGAAACCGACAGACCCCGAACGGTTATCGGAGGAAGAAGCACAAGCCGGTTCCAGCATGCTTGAGCGGCCGGGGAGCCCAGCTGCTCAAGCATCAAAACCTTGGAAGCTCAAAGGCTTCCGATCAAAACAAACGCAGTGTCGGAGAAGGGGCAAAAGCAAGAGAGAAGGGAGAGAAAAGGGGGGGGAACAAAATATTACTAACTTTAGTTGTTAATTAGTTGATAGATAATAAAATAATTAATATTTATTACTTAATAGATTAAAATTAATTTTTATATTGATATTTTTAAATATTATAACTAATCAATTATAAAAAAAAGTAAAATTTATATGACATTAATCCTTTTAAGCGTGTCAATCACTTCCCATGCAAAGAGCTAGAAAGATGAGTTCATGTATTATTTCAGGGCCAAACAAAATTGAGGGACCAAATATGGTTTAAATCAAAAGTTCAGGGATGTGTTCGTGCCTTAAAGCTGCTTCAACTTTCTAGCATAAAACGTCCTAAATCTACACTACGAAACCCAAACAATGTGTCCTGTCAATCCCTCGGGGAATTTTATGAAGAGCCATACCCCTTGCTACATAAAATGATTTTCTCTTTCAAATTATTGGCTCTTTGCCTTGACAATTACTTTACAGGTCTGGTGGCTAGTTGTGCTTGATTTGAGGGAATGGGGTGAAAATTTTGTACTTGGCTAAAAATGTAATTGGAGGGGAGGAGAGATTTTTCTTCATTATTTATTTATTATTATTATTTGTTTTTACATTTTTAATCTAACGAAACCGCAGAAAAGGCTCCAAATCTTGGGTTTCAGCCCAGAAAGTTGCAATCCCACCCCCTTCCTCCATTGTAAACTTACCCTTGGCACAAAAAATGTTGGTATAGAGTCCTCTATGGAAGGGTTGAAGCTAAATCTTCCATGGCCTAGTTCACCCTAAATGAAGATTAAAACTTCTCGTAAAAATACTAAGCCTAGGAATAATTCTTTTGTTATTTTTAATAGGAAATTTTGTGCAATATCATAGTAGAAACAAACTCAATTCATTAAGAAGTTTGTTTAAGAGTATAAATCAAAAGTACATTGATTACATATTTTTATATTTAATTTTTATAAATCATAAATGTTAACTTTACTTTTAACATTAATCACACATGCACATTTTAATTGAAAAATTGATAAAATTAAAGTTATTTTTTAATTTTTTAATAAAAATTATTTTTAAAGTATACCAATTAATAGACTTTAAATATCTGAGAAGTACCGTTCATTGAGATACAAGCACCTTTGTCTTTTCCAAAGTGATAATGTATTTTGAATGTCAATAAAGAACAAGAGACATAATGAAGTGGGCATTTGAATTCAAGCTTCTAGGTTTCAAATTTCAAAAAAAAGAAGGCAGTAAATCTATTGGAGGGGGTCATAAATGAAGAAAGGACGAAGCTGTGTCTTCTTTGCTTGAGGCACGTTAAGCAAAATTTTCAAGGTACCATCATAAATGAGAGGAAAAAGACCAAAAGCCAGCACAAGAATGCTTATGGCGTCCATTTTTCATTGCAGAATGCAGGGGACAGTGCAATAGTGCACCACTTCAACAGCTTTGGTTTATGGTCCCCCTCGCAACAGGGTAAATAGTTTCAACCTCAAATTGACAGGTAAGTCCACTACAAGAAGACATCAGTGTTAAGCACTTAATGGCCCCTGTTTCAAACAGGTCATTGTGAATGGAATAATCCAAATGCTCCTGATTAGGATATTGTAATTTGAATTTGAGGTTGTAATTCAAATTCAATCTACAACTTCAAACGGTGCGACTAGTTCAATGCAAGTTTTGGCTAGAAATATCCATCCCATGCCAAAACTCATGTGAATCTCGCAAGATTTTGATTTGATATTTGCGTGTCTCCTCCCACAAGATTATACTGGTCTCACCCCTTTTTAAATTCAAATTGAGAGGACCTTAACAAGCGACAAAGAAATAGAGTTATGACGTTTCGTTGGCCATTTTTTGTATTTTACAGTGAGTTGCACCCATCCACACTGCATCAGCGATTAGCAATTTACCTGATCCCCATTGCCCTTAGTCGTGTCACCCCTGGGGAGCAAAGGTTCGAATCCTAGAGTTGGTTTTTTTCCATCTCTAGAACACGTACTAAAATACGGGTGTAATAATTACCTGTGTTAAAAAAAAAATCAAAAATTGTTCCTTTGCAACATTCCCAAGGAGAAACTGAACAATATTAGTCAGTGAGGTGCAAAATAAACTCTCTTATTAACCAACTTACAACTTTTTCAATTCTAAACTTAAATAATATGAGATAATACCACGTAATAATAAAATTAAGGTACATTTAGTTCTGTAGATGAACTAGAGACATAACCTAAGCCCCTGTTTATTTTAATTTTTAAGGGACGTTCTTCCTACTAATATGCATAGGAAAGTTGTTGCAAAAGTTTTGACGGAAAAGTTGTTGACTTTCATAAGAAAGTTTGGTTGGAACAATTACTTTTTAATATTTAGGGAGATATTGATATTACATTTTCTTTAAAAAAACTTATCAAGTTGTCTCCCAAGGGTCAAATGTGGGAAGTAGGAGAAAAGTTTTACTTCCAATTACTTCCAAAATTGCAGAAAGTTTTAATTCCAATTTTTTCCAAAATGGTGGAAAAGTATTTTTATCTCTTAGGGTTTGCGATGAAGGCTGAAATGAGAATATAAAAATGTTAAATTTATCCTTTATTTGTTGGTCCATCCATTTCAAAATATAAATTGTTTAATTTTTTATAAATAATTCTAAGTGATGGTTTTATATATCTTATATGACGAAAAAATAATTTTGTTTTTATCAAATGAAACTACTTAACAAAAACAATGTATATATATAAAAAAAAAAAAAAACAAAGAAAATCTCAATATTCTTTCATATACTATAAAGAAAAAATATTATTTATAGATACGTATGAAAATGTAAAACAACTTATATCTTGAAACAGAATATGAGTATAATGCTAAAATAGTTAAGATATTAACTTACACTAGTGTAACTTATACTAATTAATAACATTGTAAAGTTTGTATTTTGCCAAACTAACTATTGGATTTAACATTCTATTCATATGGATTATATATGTCAAATATCAAGATGGTCTAATATATGTAACTATAAGAAATAAGATATAGTATTTTCTATTATTTATTTAATAATCTAAAATTAAGTATAATTATAAACAAATTAAACATATCTAATTAATTTAAAATTTGACATGTATAATTTATATGAATAGAAATATTAAATCCAACAATTGATTTGAAAAAAATACAAATTATACAAAAAATTATTGATGAGTGTAAGTTATACTAATGTAAGTTGATCTTGACTCCACTAGGTAAATACAAAAATTAATATCCTTAAATTTTTTCATAATTTGGTGGAATCAAAGTCTGAACAATAGCCAAGGAGTTTGGAAATTCTCAAAACATAAGAGAAGAGAATTAAGCTCATAATCCAAGGACTCATGCTAATGATGGGGAATTCAGAGGACCTAGTAAGGATGACAAATGTTGAGTATCTATTATTCCAAAACAGAGATACAATGCATATGCACCAGCAACAGCCATGAGAAAACAAAAACAGAGGCCCAGGCTGGCCCCATTTTTTCGTACGAGGAACTATACATTTACCCTGTTCCTCTGTTGATCTTCTTTGTCTCTTTCATGCAATTGCAAGTGGATTTGGTTGCCATTGTAGCGGCGTCGGCATCAAGGCAGTATTGACGTTGGAAATTGGAATCATATGGAACCAAACCATGTTCCTAAAGCCAGCTTCCATGTTGCCCTGTCCTCTGTTCATCTTCGGTGTCTCTTTCATGCCAATGAATTTGGTTGCCAATGTAGCAGCATCGGCACTAAGGCAAGGTTGATGTAGGAATCATGTGGAACAGAACCATGTTCCCAAAGTCAGCTTAATTTCATGTTAGGAAAACATGCCTTCAACTTCAAGGTAAACATGGTAGTTATAAAATGCGAAGGTAGTTTGCCTTAGTTCGTTGGGTGTCCCTTTGTTATTGAGTTAGTCACTTGTTTCTGCAACATTTTCGCATCTTTGGGACAAGAAACTTGCTTAGGGAGAGGTGAAAGAGTGGACTTTGGGAGTAGAAATCTAAAATCTAAAGTCCTAGACAAGAATTTTATAAAATACTAATGGATGAGGTATTATTTTGATGATGAAATCTAGCCGGCAATGCGCATTGGGATTCATATGTTAATTGTGAACTAAAGATAACGAGGAATGGATATGAGTTTGGATTGTGGAATTAGAGAATATTTTTTGGCAAAAGATTATATCCACATTTGTTTAATGAAAAATTATTTTGTAATCTGGTTTGCAAAATAACAGGCTATTTACTTAATATACTTAATTATTGTATTTGTCTTAATACTTATATTTTATGCTAGTATTTTTTATATAAAACAAGTAAGTAGTAGTAAAAGTTTTTTTTTTTTTAAGGCTTTTTTTATAAGCAAAGACAACTCTTTTTTATATTAAATTCTTATTGTTAAGTGATCAAATCTTACATTAAAAAATAAAAAAGACTTATTGAGTTAAATATATGTAAAGTTACTTTGTCAATTATGAATTAATTTTAGGTTAAATGTCACTTTTATATTTAATTTTAAAAAATAATATTTATTATTCTAAAATAAAAAGAGAAATTGTAAGTTGAATGTAAATCTTTGATACCTTACTTTTGAGACCTCGAATAATTACACCCTACCTGGCATCTCCACTACACAATAGCAACAATTAGAGTTTGTGGAATGGCTGCACTTTAATATTCAATGCTCGGAGAAGTCCAACATTCTAAACATCCCTTGGAATGTCGTTTTTTGCTTTACCATTTGGGGTATTTGGTTTCACAGGAACCAACTCATACAGTCAACCCACCCTTATCCTATTTGTTCTGCCTCTAAGCTTATTGTTGAAAGAGCAACAAAATATTACAGTACAGTTCCTTATAAGAGGCAGAACCAACGCCCCACTTGTATGTATAAATGGATCAAGCCTCCCCTGCCCTTTCTCAAATTGAACACCGATATCGCTCGGCTATCGATAATCCTGCGAAGGTTGCAGGAAGTGGGCTAATAAGTGATTCTTGGGGTAATTGGATCCATGGATTTTCCAGAAGAATTGGATTGTCATCTATCCTGTTTGCAAAACTGTGGGCCATTAGAGATGGCCTCCAACTTGTTGTCTCCAGAAAGCAGAAACTTTTCTCATTTACTCATTGAAACTGATTCCTTTACTGCTGTTAATTTGTCATCTAAAGATCCCATTGACAACCATCCACTTAGCTCTCTCGTGTTTGATTGCAGGGACCTCCTTCGTTGTATCCCCCATGTGAAGATCTCTCATGTGATGCGTGAGTCAAACATGGCTGCGGACATTTTGGCTAAAATGGGGCACGACATGACTGAAGATTTTGTTGCTTTTGAATCTGTCTCCCAACCTCTTATAAATGCATGTATTGCTGATATTGTTGGGGTTGAATTCCCCAGAACTTCTTGATGTATTTCTTTGGTCTATCTTTTATAATACCATCGTTTTACTAACAAAAATGGAATAATTACACGCGGGAGGGGGTTTTAAGTTTTAACTTTTAAGAAGTCTAAGGACGGTAAAAAGGAAAGTAAAAGAATAACAACCATATATGGATTTGAACTGGGCTTTAGAGAAGGGTTGCAGAAAAAGAGGGCCTCTGATCGGAAAGGCCCATAAAGGTAGGAATAGCATAAAATGTAATGAAAGGGCCCTATTGATTGACTATTGAGTATTGAAGGGCCTCTCATCAGAAAAGCCCAGAACGGTAGGAATGGCATAAACTGGAATGAAAACTGAAGAAGGCCCTATTGAGTGTTGAGTCTTGTGGAGTGCAGGCTGCAGAATGATGAAATAGACTGGCCGAAGAGGTTCTGAATAAACTCTTTGCTTTTAAGGCCAATTCCAAGCATTGGATGAATTCGATTGTGCAGCATTCTCAGCTCATCAGTGAATCGGCAAAAACAGTGATTTCTCTAACCTTCTTTTCTAATATATTTTTCAACCTAATCTAATCTATCTAAAACAAAAGGTAGTTTGGATTATAAAAGAATCCATGTGCCTGTGATGAATCTTATTCATTTATTGATTCATAAAAACTGTTCGGATATTTTCGTAGTCTCAACTTTACTTTTTTATATCAATTAGTTAAATAATTCAGTAGTAGTTTTTTTAATGAAAATAAAAAATTTTAAATTTGAACTGAATGAAATGGTAAAAATAAGATTTTTAATTTAAGTTGTAAAAATAGAGAAGAGTTGTTTCTCATTATAAAGCTCAAAATAAAAAGAAGAGAAACTTTCCCTTTTTTTTAAAGTCTGGCGTCAAATTGAGATGAAAACAAATGTATATATAAACTAATTTGATTAATAATTTGAGTTTTTATGTTAAAGATTTCAAATTTAAATTTTAGAATTGATATGGAGAGATTTAAGAAAGAGAAAGTTGTCTTCTATTGCATAACTTATCATTTAACGTTAAAAAAAAAAAAAAATTTCTAACATGTGCTTTATGATAAACCAAATAAGTTAAGAACCAAGTTGCATCATTCAAGAGATTTAAGGGCCTATTTAAAAGCTCAGGTATTAATTTGGTTTAAGTCTAGGGGCTTAAGAGGAGTTTGCGAACAAAGCTAGTAGCCTATTGCCTGTCACCTCTGCCTTAATTTCCTCGCAGCCGCCCTTCTCCGAAGATGCCAAAAGTAACACATTTCTCATGAAATAGGTTGCAATTCACACTACTGGTGCTTTTGGTAGTTGAATATCTCGCTTTAACTTTCGTAGACTAAAGAATAAGAATAGCAGAGTCAACCGGTAATGGCGGTCGGTAATTGAGTTGACAATGCAGGCGAAGACGACTGCAATAGTAATAATACACGGCCCCACAATGTGAGCGCTTGAAAGTCCCCATCATCTAGAACTAGAACTGCAAGTCTGCAACGGCTAGCGTTTGATATCTTCACTCTATTTTTATGCAGGTGGTACGGAGTAATATAGTTTTATTTTCTAGATTAGTTATTAGGATGTCTCTAAGTTAGTGTATACACATTTTAAAATTAATTAATTTTTTATTTAATTTAAGAGTATATTATCAAGATAAATATTGAAAAATTTATAAAAAATTATTTTTTATTAATCTCTTTAAAAAGTAAAATTTTAATTAATAAGATATTAAGTAAATCTTTTTATTAATTAAATTACTACGATTTAAATAGAGCGATATATTTTTATCTTTTGAGTTCCACAAAGGTTGGGAACAAATTATTCACTTTTTCATTAATTCAACGTTCATTTCTTTGGTTTGATTAAAAACTTCATAAAATTTATTTGCATTTCCACGTTACAATTGGTTGATGCCACCTCTAACAACCACCAAAACCCTCATAGTCATATCATATCCATCTCTTACAGACGAGAGACTGTACCATTGAAAAACAAACCCAGCACTAGGGGGTAGGGAGCAAAAGACGCAAACCGGAGAAGAAAGGAAGAAGTAAGAGGTCCTAGCAGGGGCGGATCTAGGGGCCCCAAAACCTTTAAAAATTTGTTAATTAGGTTCATAAAATTTTTACTTTTCATTTTTATCCTTAAATTCTTAGTTTATTTGATACCACTTTATTCCATTTCTTAATTAATGTTTTAATGTTTTATTTTACCATATAAAAATATTTTCTGGCTCCATTATTAGTATTAAGTTTAAGTTATCCAATATAAAAGTAAAATGAGTATAAAGTAAAGTGGAGAATTGTCTTTTAAGTAAAAATTAATGAATTCAAATTTCAAATAAATAAGATGAAATTAATATGTAAAATTAAAAACCATATTATATATTACAGACAACAAAAAAGAATATAATAATGACCATCAAAAACAAGGCTGCTAGTGGCTGTAACGTGATAGAAATTACATAAACAGCAGCTTTTGTTGGTAGACTCATCCACCATTTTTAGGTGCGCGACGTGGATCCATATGGATTAATTGAGGTGAAACCTCCATACAACACCGGACGGGAAATCAAAAAAAAAAAAAATTACATAATCAGCAAAATTAAAAACCCATGAGATCAGGGTTCATCTATCACTTGCACGTGATGTTATCTATTTCCTTTGTAGCAGTCACAATATCCATGGTGCAGTTCATCTCAGCTGACTTCTTCTTCTTAATCACCTTCATCAAATGAATCTTTCCTTCCAACTTCGCTCGGATGCTCAGCTGCAAAACCTCCGTATTCACCAACGGCCCATTGGACTTCAAGTTCACCTCCAAATCAACCTTCTTCGTCGACCGAGCTCTGGCTCGCCCCTTCTGAAGAGTAACGTTGCCAACAATGGCGTCCCCGTAGGTGAAGGTGACTGTTCCGTCCTCATACTTGAAGTGTCCGAAGTTGGTGTTCTTAACGGTGAAGTGAGTGTTCAATTTCAGATTGAATGAAGAAGCATTTTCAGTTCCAAAATCGGAAGCTTCGAGGGTCGCATTTCCGATTCTGAATTTTGGGTTTTCGAAGCGCATGACTGTCAATGCAAAGAGGAGGATGATTCCAGTCTGGAAGACAGCAAAAGCCAAGATATAGACCAGGCACTTAATCCGCTTCTTTTTCTTTAGCTCTTTGGACTGCGCCGCCGCAGTGACGGATTCTTCATCGCTCCGAGTATGCCCGTTGGCCACTGGGGCCAACGGGTACGGGGACTGGTTCTTCTCCGCCATCATTGGATGCTCTGTTTTCTTTTTCGTTTTTTTGTTTCCCTTGTCTTTTGCGTTGAGGGAGTGGAGAATTAATGTGGAAGTGAAGATTGGGCCTTTGGAACTAGTATTTGTAGACAAAAAAATACAACTTGCAGGTTTTATAATTGATGTGTGGAATGAGATGGAACACTTTGTTTGAAAAAAAAAAATTTCTCTTAAATTTTTTCTCGAGATAAAACGTGTGAGGTGGTTTTCAACATTGACTTCTAGATGGTACATTTCACCAAGCCAAGGATTTTATTTTCTTTTTTTGTATTAATTATATTATTCACGCAATTTGTTAAAAATACATGTGATTTGTTTTAGATTATTTATATATCAAAAATATTTTTTTTTACTGTAAAAATATTTAAATACTTTTATTAAATAAAATTTATTAAGGGTGTTTTGATACTTTTATAGTGTGAACTAAAAAATACAACGCTCATTAGGAGTATATTTTAATT